CACGAAAGGCAAGGTTGTGCTAGAAGCCCTATTCCCACTCTCCACTGGGCTCAGAGCTGGCACGGGGTGCACAAGAAGAGCCCAGGGCTGAGTTTGCTCAGCCTGGAGAGAGAAGAGTGAAGGAGGACCTACTCACTGCCTTCAGCTACCTAATGGGTTTGGAGAGATGGTGCCAGACTCCTCCCAGAGGTGCTTGGAAAAAGAGGAATCTCAGGTGCTAGCTACAGCAAAGAAAATTCTAGCTTAATATAGGGGGAGAAGGCAATTCCTCCCATTTTCTATAGCAACATCGTCAAAGATAACCCTGCTTTGAGCAAGGGCTGGACTAGAGAGGTCCCATTATATCTCAGGTGGGGGGGGTTATTTTGTGATGGGGCTCTGCTGCAGGTGCAGAAGAGCAGTTGTAGCTGTTCAGAAAAGATCAAGCAGCATCAGAGGCAACAGGAGAAGCAAAAAGCTTATGAAGGACTGATAAAGGGAGGCCCTACATCCTCTGCACCTCAGCAACATCACGATGCTCCCCTGCAGCACAGCAGGGCGTCAGAAGCGGAAAACTCACCACTGGTCTGTTTTCACTTGGTGGTTTCTGCACATCTGCAAAGTAACACATCTGGTTAGAAGATCCTTGTGTGCCAAGGCAGCGTAAGCATCTGGGACTGACACAGCTCCTGCATCCTAGGAGAGCACTGGAGAGTGCAACTATTGCACCACGCTTCCTCCTCCACTCAGGGTCTACCCCCTTGAGCATCACAAAAACAAGTAGGGTACCAGCTCACGGTCTAGGGTTTAATTAGGATTAGTGGGGTGCAATTTCTCAGGCGTCCCCTCTGGGAAAGCCCTCCCAGGTGCTCATGGTGTGGCTGAGATGATGCCCAGTGCTGTGGCAGAGAGACCATAAGGTCCCTGGGCAAGGTGCACGGGAAGGACTCACACAGCATTAAGACACCGTGCTAACAAGTAGTGCAGAGCCACAGCACATGGCCTGGGGGGTCTACAAAGGGGGAACAGGACTCAGGGCACCCTTCTCCCCTAGACATGGTGATATCTGTCCCACAGAAACATGACACAGCTGAGTTCAGCACGTTGAACCTGCCACTGTACCCCGGGGAGCTGCACGTATCCAGCTGCCCCCAGGTCCCAGCTGGGTTTGCTGGATGAGCATCAACCATCAGGTCTCCTGGCACACTCCACCCCCTCGACACAGCACGGCTCCCATGGGGGATCGTACCTCCTCTCCTGTACATGACAGTGAGGTAGCCAAAGATCAGCAGCACAACAGCTCCAGCCAGCAGAAGGATACCTAGAAGTACAGCCTTGATGGATTCTGGGGGGTTGCCTTCCTTCATCTCGGGCTCGGTGTCATTTGTCTTCTCAGGGGCTGCTGCAATAGCCATCAAAAAAAGGGGAAACAAAACAGCAGGTGAGGAGTGTAAAATGGGCTCCACAGTCCTTGTGAAAGGTAACAGCAGAGCATGGGGGCTGTCTTCAGAAAGGGCTCAGTCCCAGGCAGGTTGCCACAGCCCCACCATCCCTCCAGGAGACTCAAATTTGGGCTAACGTGGGTATGTTTTGGCCATGTCCCATTCCTTCCCATTGCAGGTGGTGAGGAGGAACCCACAGCATGGAGAGCTGGGGTGCAGGTGCCCAGGACACTGCTCTGCATCCACAGGCAGTCCTACAGCATGACTCTGTGCCCAGCAGAGCCCCATGGAGGATACAGCTTCCCCAAGTCTGCTCACTGCTTCCACATCCGGGGGCCAGCACAGCATCAGCTCACATTGGGAAGAGAGGTTGTGAAAGACAGTGACTTTTGCAGTGTTTTTTCTTTTTATAAAAGGCCACCTTCGGCCCCAAAAAGCTCCCTTGCTCCCAAGCAAGGGCATGGCAGATTTTGCTGCAAGATCTCAGTCTCCCACACCATGGGACTAAAAGAACCTCTCAGGTCATAGTTTTGCAACAACTGTATCTACAACAACACTGGCTGTTTGAGGGGTCTCAGCCCTGATTGTCACCCCAAACACAATCCCTGTCCCCAGAGGAGTTGTTCAGGGGTGAAGGCAGCTCCCTACGCTAGTATCCCAACTTCATCCATGGGTCAGGAATTACTACGCCCCATAGTATCACTGGGGACACAGCCTCAGCAGGATGGAGACCTCCTGCCTCGGGACCATGTGTGAATGGAGGAGGACAGCCTGTGTATCTGGGCCTCAACCCTACATGCAAAGGAGAGGGGGACAGGCAGAACTGCGCTCTCCACATCAGCTTCTGCTCCAGTGGGGTACTGCCTGCCTTATGCCCTGCGGCTGCAGTGTTCTTCAGAGCCATAGCACCACGGGATGACACCAATGACCTGTCCCCACCAGCTCAGCCCCCAGGCTGACCTGTGACTACCAGGTGGGACCTGTTGCTCTCTATCACTTTATCAGGTTCAAAGAAGGCAATCAGTCCACAGTAGTAGGAGCCTGAGTCATTCTGGTGGAGGTTCAGGATCTCCATCTTGAAGACAGGAGTGTAGTTTGTGAGCAGGTACTTCTCCGTCTTTGTCTGGAGGTTGTTCCGGGTGATTTCAGCAATTTTTTGGCCTTGGCTGTGGTTGGAGTCTTTGTACCAGTTGAGGCTGTACTCCAAGCCAGAGTCATTCTCCACAGAGATATTGCAGAAGAAGGTGGCTGAGCTGCCTGCAGGAAGAGTTAATGCTGCTGGGAAGAAGGTCACTGTTTGGGAGAGAGGAAACAAGAAACAGTCATGGTTACAGGCATTAGAAACAGCTGCAGACCTGTGCAGGAACCAGAGGTGCAAGGCCAGTACACAGCATCACCTTGGACCACGAGGAGGTACATCAACCCATGTCTCCCCCGTCATGAGTGTGTGCCTGGGGTACAGGGATAGTAACTGTGAAGTGGTTTCAGCAGAGCAAATTTTGCTCTGGTCTACCTAAAATTAACCCAGAACACCTGCACTGAAGAAAAAAAGACTTTGGGGGTTGTATTATTTTAAATCTGAGTCATCCTTCCTCCAGCTGATGTTGCTTCCAAAAGCAAGCAAAGGGACCGAGTTCTGGGCTGGGGCAGCACCCTGGGGTGCAGCACATCCCATGCTCCAGCATGCTGCGAGCACAGAGCAGGCAGCGGCTGCCCAGGACACAGTATTTGCCAACCCCAGCATGAGATCATCTGACAGGTCAGTGACCTAGAACTCCCCTGGATGCCATCCCTTCCTGGCTGCCCATCCCCTCCTCATGTGTATGTGGGCAGCCAGGCATCCACCTGGGGGGCCCTGGTCAGGCTTGCCAGGCTGCTCCCAGCACAGAGGGCAGCCGGCCACAGCCTCCTCAGCCCTTAGCACCGGCCCTGCTGCTTTGACACATTTCCCTGCGTGTGATCTCCATGGGTTCATCTCCTCCAGACAGCAGGGATGCTGCAAGCACAGGCCAGGCTCACCAAGTCCCAGCTCATTGAGCAGGACAGGGCAGCTGTTGCGTTAACTTTTGTTTGGAGCAATAAAAAGTGAGAAGAAGCATTTTTCATGTGGGTTATATGACTACTGCTTCTGGTTATCTGACCAACACTTTGAGAAGTTTCTGCTATTTAGAAATGTATCTTTCCTTCTTGGACATCACCACTGATAGCAGCCCCAGGGCTTGCAGGCAGTTAGAAAGCCTCTCCTGTTCTTCCAGCACTTACTTGAGGCTGTAGGACCATGAACTCAGCATCATCAACCAGAAAAGGAACCAGGATGATTCCTTGAACAGCTAGAGGAAACAAAACTGGGCTGAGAAATGAGGGATGAAACTGAAGAGTCAGGGAGGGAAGTGCCCCAGCTCCCATGGGCAGCACTGGCTGCAGCAGTGCCCACACCGAGAGATGTCATGTTTGCAGTGTTTTGGGTTTCTCATGTTTAATAGGAAATATTCGGCAGGCTCAGGGCTCTGCTTCCTACCCAGTGCTGTTGCCAGAAATGAAGGAAGTGCACAGAGGACTTCTGAAAGCAGAGATTGGGTTTTCACGTTTCCCCTCATCTTCCCAGCAGCAGAGATAACACCTGCTCCAAGAGATGCCCAGCCCTGTGTGCAGTCCTGGGGCAGAAAACACCCAAAGCCACCAAAGAAAGAGCTAGGCTGGGAAGAATAGGGCACGTGGCATCATCAGGGTTCTCTCTCACTTTGCGAAAACTA